GCTTTGACACTTCCCTTGCCAAAACCCTGTTGTGGTTTGCAAAAGACGTTCTTCACATTTTTACCCCATCCTTCTGAATTCTGGGATCACACACTGAGGTTTTTCAGTATAGCAGTCACAAGTAAAAACTTGCAGATTCTTAAAAAAACAAAACAAAACAAAAAAAAGGCAAAACCCCAAACCAGCCTGGATAAGCTCCTTTTTGCATTTTCTGTATTATAGCTATTATCAACCTGTAGTGAGAGACAATTTGTATGAATATTGTATAGTGACCTTGGTATCCAGCACTGGCAAGGGACTAAGGAGTTGATGGGAACCCGCCAAGAGGTATCAGAATCAGAGAAAAAAGGTGGAATTTGAGAGTAGCTGAAAGGGAAAAGACTTCTTTTTGAAGCCTGTAGCAGCTCCATGGGGGAAAGACTGATGGATGACAATTTGCATTAGTTTTAGGGAATTCCCTTGGGATCATGGTTGTATGGGATCAATTTAAAGGGTGACAGTTTACTTCTCTCTCTTTCCTTTCCCTCCTTTCCTAAGAAAGGAAACAGTCTCAGCTGACTCCTGCTGGTTTCTGCAGCAGGATCTCAAATCCCACAGCAGTTTGTCTCAAACCCCAAAGCACCCACAGACACCTGCAGAAAAGACACTTGTTACATCCAGCCAAAAGCAGATATTGTAGATAATCTTGCCAGAAGCAAAATTCTTGTTAATTCTCCTATTTCACTCCACATGTTATTAAACATAAAATACCAGTGCAGCAAAAGCTCAAAAAAGAACAATAACAGAGATATTTCTAAGATGCTGGGGAAAACAGGCTTTAGTTTCACTTAAGTAATTCCTGAATTCCTGAAGAAGGTGCAGCATGTTTTCTGTCTCTCTAAGTATTTATTATTTCTATCTCCTCTGCCCTTGGTGAGCTATTCAAGCAAGGTAGGAGAAGGTTCATTTGAAAGGCACAGAAGTTCTTTATCCAAATTTTTCTTCAATATAAATTTGTGAAACTGAGACTTTGAACACATCCAGTCGCCTGGTTTTATTATTTTTTTTTAATGTTGATGTCTTCCTTTCTTCTTTATCTTCTCTGCAACAGCTGGCAGTACTACTGCCAGATGCCACCAAAGTCTTCAGAGTATTAAAAACAGGCCAGCCCTAACCCTGGGCTTGAAAGAGTGATGATGTCTCAGCAGCCAGAGGACACAGAGGAAATGAGTGAGACAGAAGGAGCTTGTCAGAGAGCTACAACGTCAAACTAACAAAATAACAAACCTGAAATTCAAAATGCAGCTTGGTAGCTCCAACAGCAAGCAGATGTACTCCCACACCTTTTTTTTTTTTTTTACATTAGTGTTCTTTGGTGGCATTTAATTTTCTTAGGCAATTCTTGGACTGCACACATGGCTGCAGAATATGTCTGAATTATATAGGCAAGGAAAATACTGGGTCTAGGGGCTTCATGCACAGAAAAATCCTTTTCTGAAGTCAGATCCGGTCACAGTTGACTTCCTCACTCCTGGCCAAAGCCACAGGTGTGTTGTTTAGGTGAAGAATGCAGTCTGGCAAATAGCCATTTCCATACTGGATACCTCTCACCTGCCTGGTGAGGTTAAAACCATGCTGGTTCTACAATCAATAACATCCAAGGTGATTCAAATCCATAAGTCTGTCCTCTCTAAGTCAAATCCATGGAATTACAGCATTTAGCAAGAGTTCAGAGCAAGTCTCAACCAGCTCCATAACTATGCATCCTAATGTCTTCTCTGCTCCATCAGAATCTCCTACGGTTACACCTGTTAGTGGCAGCCACATGATACAGCAATATGATTTTCCAGCAGGTGATTTGCAGAGATGACTCATTTTCACTCCACAGGTTTCTGGAACCTTCCACAGGGTAGTGGTGGAATTGCCCCTTTTAGTCCCCTCTCTGAGTTGCACCTCGTGCTGCACTGGTGAAGCCAAGTAGCCTGAAAGTTAGCAGAGGATTATTTGCAGGGTGTTGGCTACTCACTGAGAGTTAAAGCTGAGGAAGTGGCTACTGAGAAGCCAACTGGAATTGGTCATGGTAAGGAGCTGAAGCCAAAGCAAACCAAGCCAGTGGGATCACTGGCAGCCAGCAAAAGCTATCTCTGGGGTCTGTCCTACTGCACATATGTTTGGAACTCAGAAAAGGAAAAGAGGATCTCAAGGGACGTGAATCAGACTAGTTGAGCAACACTGGAAACTTGAACACTGCTGCAAAGCCAAAACTTCTTTGTGTTATCATACCCAAAGTTTATTAAAGCAAAATACTGCAAAATGGCAGAGAAACAAAGTCTGATCCCAATCAATATTTGGAAGAAACAGTTGACAAAGAGAATAATCTATATGCCAAGTATCCTCTTAGGAGCAGACTAATTTTGCGCAGACATCCAGAATAGGAGATACATTCATAAAAATGTCACTGGGTTTCAGAACAGCATGGCAACTCCTTACTGAATTAGTTTCCAGCCACGACTCCAATCCTCTCCTTTCTCTCCCTCTCCCCCCATGACCAGTTAAGAGCAGCCACCTCCGCTCGGTCTCTCCACGGGGGTTAATTCATTCATCTGTGTTATGCAGCCACTGGGATTGCCCTGAGAGTTTCCAAGGTAGAAAGAGAAAGTGGAAACAAAAAGCAGCTCCCTGCACGATTTGTGAAACATGCAAAATACAATAGCAATAAAAATAGTAATGAGCTCATTATAATAGAAATGCTCTCATTAGCAGTGCAAGTGCCAGTCATATACGTGGCCAGGTTTCTGATGGTGCAGGGAGTCCTTTAAATACTTTCCTTCCCTACTCCAGCATATAAATTCTATTTAAAAACATGTAATTTGTCCAATCCTTGGGCTGCTGTCCCTCCCTTTGCTCCCCAAAAGGTCACTGCAGTATATAATGCCTGGACACGTAGGATATGGGTGGTCAGATGCACATCCCCATGCACTGCTACGGGCAGAGGATCAGTCCTTCCCCTGCCACAAGAGGAGTGGGAAGAGGACTCCATTTGCTGGCAAGAAATGTCTTGAGCATACAGTGGCAAAATGTATTTGGGAATATAAAGTGGGAGGAAAACAGCTTCCATCAACATGCTGGTAACAAATTTAGGGCATTTGCAGATGAATAGCAGCACAGTTAACAGGGGATTATAACAATTATTTTAGGCCAGTTGGAGGGCAGCACCCAGGACTGTGTGTGTCCTGCTGCTCAAGACATAACTGTCAGGAAAATGGAATGAAGGACATTGGCATCTGCCTTGTCTGGAGCCAGGCTTCTTCTCCTCTCCACTCCAGCCAGGTAGTGTCGTTTCTTTGCTTTCAAAGTATCAGGCAGAAATATTGCCTGGGCTGAAAACATGCTGGTCAATGATTGTGCTGGGTGAGGAAGAGCAGCCAGTGGATGGGAGAAGAGCCAAAACATGCTGTGTGGATAGTAATTGAAAAGAATATGTCCATTTTTCTCCTTTTCTATTAAATGTGTGCATAAATACTGCTTGAAAGCTAGAGCTGAGCTCCTGCTATCAATGCATTTCCATGAGAAGATTTATCTTCATTTTATAGATAGGATTTGTACTGTAAGAAGTGCAGATCTAAACGAACTGGACTTAGTAGGCTCTTGGCTGGAGGTCTCAGAAGTTTAGTACCTTTCTCTGAGAAGTCATGAAGCTGATGCACAGCCTTTTCTGCTGGCTGACATCCAAAATTCTGTGTCTACACACAGCCTGTCACGGGTCACTCTTTTTCTTATAATAAATTTATATGCCTTATGGATCAGATTTCACGGGACCTGGAGTTCAGGTGATCTAAAATGGTAGGCTCTGCAGCACTATAGTCCTTCCACACACAAATGTCTCCATGACTTTTCCACAGTCACAGGAAAGCCCACAGCAGAGCAGGGAGTTAAGCTGTGCTGTAATTGCCAACCATTACACCCCGTATGCAAAATTCCTTTTTTTCATTTCTGATCTAGGCTACCAGAAATGTAGAACTCCATCAAGATCTGCCAGGTAATAATGAGGCATGCTCTTCAAAAATGTACTTAAAATTGAAAGTGATTAAAGATGCTCCAGCCTGCAATTACCTATTACTCAACTTTAAACGGTTCGTTTTTCACATCATGCCAGGAAGTTGTAACTTCTTAAAGCAATGTTTCTGGTAATTAGGGGAGAGCAGCAACAGCAGCCACTGAGCATTATCTCTGCTGCAGCATAGTGGGAATGCTGCCTTCTGCAGATGACAGAACAAGCGTGGGAATGTGGCAAAGAGAGGCACCACCTGATCTGACTGCTCTGCATCTCACTGCTCAGGGAGCTGATTGCTCGCCAGGACTTCAGCTTGGGTCACAGAAATACTGGGCTTGGGAAGGCTTAGCCCAGCTTGGTCTGAGCTTCTGAGATCAGTTTTGGACTCAGAACAAGGAAGCTCCTGGTACAATTCAGAAACGTCGCACTCCCTTTGGCTCAGTCTGAGTAAGATTCCTGCCTCTCTGGAGTTGGCCTAGGAATAAGAAAAGGCTTTTAGCAATCTATTTTTAGGCTCTCTCCTTTTTAATTTGGAAGCACAGTTAAAGTAGCTACAACAGACAGACACATTCTACCATCAAACCTCAGCACTCTGCCTTCACCTTCATGGCCTTTACTCTGCACATATTTTTGATTTACCAGTTTTACTTTTCAGACAAAGTTAAATGAGATCTGATTTTCTTGTTGCAAAAGTAGTGCCACTTTGATCGATAAATGTATCAGAGAGATACCACAATGCTTAAATAAAGTAGAAATAAAAATAAATAATTAAAACTTCCCAGGCACTTGAGACAACCACTCCATACCAGACACTGTAATTGCAGGACCAAGTGCTGTGGTTGTCCTGACTGCCTCCATAGAGAACCCAGGGCACAGAATGAACCCTGATGATGGCTCACCACTTTGTGACAATGAAGAACATAATTTTTATGTATATGGGCTCCTCTACCTCCCTTTAGAGACTTACCTGTTATACATAGAGAGCATTAGTTTTATGTTTTTACTTCTGCTTCCTGTGTTGCTGCTCAGGTTGTCATCAGGACATCCACATCCCACCTTCCCTCAGGTTGCTGTCACCTATGGCACTGCTTGATGTGGCCAAACCTCCTGAAAAGAGGCAGAGAATGAGAGAAAGGAGCAGTGCTGGCAGACCAAAGGTAGTTGCAATAAAATAAAAGCAATAATTTTTACCTGTTTGGAAAGAACTGTGCACACACAACAGTAAATGACAATATTACTACTAAATACACCTGTTATTAATGACAGGAACTTATCTCAGTATTAATAAGAATAATAAGCTTATCTAACATAACCTCAGCTCATTTAATCTCAGGAATTTATCTCAATAATAAGGGAAAATATATTAGAAGTAGAAATACAGAAAAAAAAGAAAGATTTGTGTAAGGATCATAGAATAATGGTATGCCTTCTGTGTGATAACTGTGGAGAATGAAAGAAACATGTCTTCTTTCTTAGATATGTGTCTGGAAAAAAAACCCCAAACCCTAAGTTATCTGTGATGTCTTTATGCAAGTTAAAAAGCTGGAAATTCTTTGACTTTACAGGAACTGAGAGCTACCCAGCTTGTGGCAGGGAGGCTGCAACAGGCACAGCAGCAAAGGGTACATGTCTGAAGTTAGGGCAAGGGACAAGTTTTCAGTTCTGAAATGGCATCCCACTGCTGGGGGGGTCCTGGGCTGCAGAGACTCCGAGACTGCAGGAACTGATGCACTGGTGAGAAGCTGGTGATGGCTGGAGCTGCCCCACATCTCAGGCACAGCTAAAGCCACCACAGGACTGGCACAGCAGGTCTCCCTTCCCATGCACAGCCTGAACTGCCTCTTACTCCTGCCCATACAGGTCAGTCAGAGAGATCTCTGCCTCAAAGCAGGGGAGGACAGCTGGGAACACAAGTTAGCAAAAGGAAATAAAAGAACAGCAACTACCAGATGATTAATGGCACTGATATGAACCCTGCTGACAGCCCAGGGCCTGGGCACCTCTGCTGAGACAGATTAACTTTGTCTCTTGAAGCATGGGAACAAAAGGAAAAGAAGCTACCCACTGGGAAATGTCTAAATCCATAGAAGAGTGATGAGCATGTTCAGGCTGAAGGAACTGTCTGGAGAAAATATCAGGCAAACTCTGCCACTCTTTATCTGGGTGCTTATCATGCGCTCAGCTCAGCGTGCAGATTTTGGGCTACCAGGACTATGTTTCTTGGCTGAAAAGTCAAAAGGCAGCAGCACAGAAATTGACCTTCATTTTTTCCAAAGCAGTTTGAAAACATTCCTGAGTTGTATTTTTCTACCCCGACCTATATTTCTGTGATGATTCATTTTTCTGTTCCTTTTTGGAAGGACAGCAGACAGCACAAGCTTTGCCTGAGCTGGGTTTTCCCACCCTCACTGCCCATCACTTCACAGCAAAACCACGGTCACACCTGGGGGCAAATCCCTCCTGGACTATCAGCATCCCATTTCACTTACAGGATCAGGGAATGCTCTGGAAACTTCAAATGCGTAAAGAAAAGTCAAATACACATTGAAATACTTGTTGTGTGAGCACACATGGGTGAGACGCGACAAGTTTTCTCTCAGGGTTTTATGGCGTATTTATTCATGTCAAAAAAAGAGCCACTGATTGGTGAGCAGAAGTCACTTAGTCCTGGCATGAAATTTCCACGAGAAGTAAATAAGAGCTTTCCCAAGGCCTTGGGGTTATGGCAGGGATCTGCATCCTCCTCTGGCTGAGAGTTCTGAACTTGCATTTTCAAGTGATCTGAAATACAGGTCTGCACTCTGCTGCCACACAGTTTTACCTGTCTTGGCCTTAGCACGATGTCCAGTTTATAAACAAGGAACTGGTTTCACTTTCTGTGGCCAGGGCACGTGCACCCAAGCAAAGAAACAGGACTTTTATTTCTTACCATATTTCCTTGCTACATTACAGTCCCACTTCACTCTCCTGAAGAAGTTACAAAACTTTAGTATTGTGTCAAAACCCTGGAGATCAGCAGGATTTTAAGGCCTGATTCATAACTTACAGAACATCAAAGGAGGAGTCCCAGTTTCCCCAAGTTTCTTTTTCTCATCTTTGCATTCGGGGTCTGGCCACAACTGATTTTTTGATATGCAGAATAAGCACAGCCCAAGCCACCCAACTTCAGTGGCGTCCTATTGGGCTGAAGCAGCAAAAGCCTTGCACAACATCTTCTAATGATTCATATTTTGGGGAGGAGGAACATCACCTCTAGGAATTCAGCTTTATTGGATACTCTAATCCAGAAGAGATAAAAGCGCTTACTAATTACTGCTGGGTTTTGTTTCTTTGAAGAATTGGGTTAAATTTCTTTTGAAAGTAGATGTCTGTTTGTGCTTGTTAGATGTATAATTTAATTTGTTTAGGACTTTTTCCTCTTCTAGGGTTTTGTTCTAATGATATCTGTGCTTTTCTTTCTCTTCTTTCTCTCTCTTTTCTCCCCAAAGATATGAACTTTTGATACACTCTAGATTTATTTTCTTAATATAACAGTGATTATCCCCAGGTTGATACACCTTCTTTGAGGTTTTATTTTTTCCCTGCTGAAAAGTCATTCCCTTAAAAAAAAAATATTGTTGGTCTTGCTTGCCAGTTTAATAATTCTGAGATTTATTTGCTTATGGACCTTTCCTGACTGAAACCTGTATTCATACTACACTGGAGAGAGAACGCAAAATATATACTTTAGAAAAGGAAAATAAATTGTAATATTATAATTTATCTGTCAACCACTACTATGCAACTTTGCAGAAGCAGAGGAAATTGGGCTGAAAGGGAACTTGGGGGGACAATTAATTCATACTTCCTCCCCAAATGAGGACCAACTCTGCCTACATCATTCCTGACAGATGTTTTTCTAACCTGTTCTTAGCAGCCTCCAGTGGCACTAGGTACACAACCTCCCACGGCAATTTCTATTAATATTCAACTGTTCTCACTGTTGGAAAGTTTTTCCTAATGTTTAACCTGAATTTCCTGAGCAGCAGTTTAAACCTGTGACTTCTCATCCTGTTCACATGTATTTGATCTTGTTAAGTCAACCCAGCTGAGGGAAGTGGTTTAGCTGAGCTCCCAGGAGCTTTCTGCACTTGTGTTCCTTTGCAATTATAGACACATTTTGGAAAACCCACCCACTGAGAGGCACGTCCGAAATGCAAATAGAGATCAGCTGTTTGCCCTGCCCATGTCTGACATCTCTTGAGATTTTGTTGTGTTGGACGGGAAGGAGAAAAAAGAAAAACCCCTTATACATCACACGCTGCACTTAATTGCACAACTCCCTTCCCCTTCTGCCCCACCACGTAACACAACAATGGTCTTTACTCCTGCTTTAGGTTGCACACTGAGGTAGTTGAGTGTTGACCAGTTACCTCTGCTCTGATAATATTAGTATTTGGATGATGCATTATAAGTGAATTCTTCCCCTTGGCCACTCCCCCTCCCCCTGAAAACAACATCCAAAAGTAAGTAACACCCCAAAATAAGTAATACCTCCAGTTTGCTGTACAAATAAAGAAATACTTTGATGGACTACCCTGTATCTTATCTGGAGGATGGGAAAATGTACACTGCTACTGAGTTATGGATTGTCTCATGGCTCTGTAAATGAAGACTAATGTTGCAGTCAGCTTTGCCACTGACCGGCCTGGCAGATTCATTTGGGTCAGCCAAATAACCCTTCCTTTACCTGACAGGAATTATTAAAAAAACTCAACATATTTGCAAAGTGCTCTGAGACGTAAGCCTGAGGTGTGCTCTGTTTTATTGTTCTCAGATTTAGAAATTATCATGGGAGTTTATGAAACTCCTGGATGCAAAACACTGCATAAGGGGAAGCAGCTCAAGGCTTCATGTCCAAGTAGCCACAACAATTTCTGGCCTCCCTAAGGTAAGAGGAGCGAGAGGGATCTTACTTCTGGCCACTGGTGCCCCTCAGCCTTTTTTCTTTCTCTCTGAAGTAGCAGCATGTGCTTTCCAGGGCTTTTCCACAGGCAAAGGAGGCATCTGCTAACCAGGACAGAAAACAGCTGGGTCAGAGCTGTTTTTCTGCTCCCAGCAGTTGCAGTGGTTTTGCCTGCCCCTAGCACTGGCCCTGTCTGGCTATTAATATTTGTTTTCATCATTATTATTTTTACAACTACTATTCCAAATAACAATGGAATAAATTACTTCTCAGAAGGTTTTTTTTTTCTTTTTGAAGTTACTACACCCTGCAGCAATAGAAATTGAAATATTCTTGTTGTATTGGGGGTGAGATTCCTCCACGCTGGATGAGGGGGCACAGGGAACCATGGTCAGAACTAATTGGGTGTTGGAATCAGACAGGAGAGGGAAGGAGTGCCTCAGGCATTTGGAAAGGCTGGCTTCTCTAATTCTAGAGGAGTTGTAGCCTTGAAGGCACAAACCCTAAAAATGTGGAGCTCTGCCACAGCAGGACAGACCCAACTGGTAGGGAAGCAGGGAGGATCTATCAGACCACAAATGAACAAAGAATTGAAAGCATTTTTTTTTTATTGATGCCAAATGATTGTGTTGCTGGCCTCAGGAAAATGAAATACTGAACAACAAAACACCATCATTTGGGGCTAATCAAAGATTTCTTGCTCAGCCTTAAGCTGAAGCACTTTTGGTTTGTTTGATCCAGAAAAAAAAAAAAAAAATATCATGGACACATTTAAAAATGGGGTATTTTGGACTGGAAAAAAAAGAAGGACTAAATTACTTTGTTTTCTTTTCCAAGTTTTGACCAGCTTTCTTGTGTGAAACTGTTCCACAAATTTGCCTCAAAACGTTTTTGTCCAAAAAAAAACAACCAAAAAACAATCCCTTGCTTTTACTCAAGCTTTTTTCCCTTTGGCAACACACCACAAATACATCATAAGGACATTTTCATCAGACACTTCTCTTCTGATGAAGCTGGAGCTGATATAGAAAAGCCGCTGAGTTTGATCAGTGCTCCCTGCACCTGGGACTGGGTGTTGTATCCCTGGCTGAGGGGGCCATCAGGGGAGGGTGTTTCTGAGGACACATAAAAGGAACAACAGTAAGGACCAGTGTAGATGCAG